GTCCGTGTTATTTTCCCATCAACTACCTTTAAATCACGATTAAATTACTCTATATGTTAAGATAGTTTGCTAGTTTAAGCTGGTTTATGGTCTTTCAGTCTGCTACGCTGGTCTAGATGGTCTCCCAGGCTGTCTTAAACCGAAAAGTTCCCAAAATCCATTTAAAACCAGTCCGAGCAGGCCGAGAGACCATCTGAGACTGGTTTAAGATGTCTTAAGATCTGTCATTGTTTCTCTTCCCACAGTTTTCAGATTGGATCTACTGATTAGCCACACCAAACAATGTCCTTTCGTTTTCAAGAGGACCGCCAAACAGGAGCAGAATACAGGAGCAGAATATTGACAAATGTCATCATGTGACAGCCTTCCTACATGGTGCAGGTGTTTATTGTGTCCGTGTTAAGATGCCACGACTAGAGGAGTTAGCTAATGTTGTCCTCAGGGTGCCCAGCATCTTGGTGTTGGACATGCTGTATAAATGTGACATTGACAGCTTCACGGATCATCTCAAAGCGAGGACAGAAGACATGCTCTTCAAGTACAAATATGTAATCTGGAACATATATTATTTGGGTAAATATTATGTGATCATCATGAGTCATTATATTGTAGTGTTGGCTAAATATGCAACATGTGACATTGTTGTTGGTGTGTCCTGCAGGTCACATAGTGAGCACCGTGGTGCTGCTGTTGCCACTTGGGCATATTATCCAGCTCTACCTACATGTTCTCTGCGCCCTGCTTCTTTACATGGGTCATCAGATTGTCAGGTGAAAATTACAACGTGATTTTGCTCATTACAAATTGTTTGAAATATGTGAATAAAGTGAATGGTTTGTTGGTAAGTTTTTCAAAAGGATTTGTTGTGTTAACAGAGATTATGTAAGAGATGAAGCTCAGTATGGATATGATGGTGCACTCTTTCTGGACTCTCCGGCATTGAACCGTTTTGTGACTGCACTCACCAGTAAGTTACAAGTATCACAACCGATAGTAATGCCAAAAAGTACTTGGACTTTAAAGCTATTAAGATTTTGGCAAACATATTCGCTTACTAGCTTTTTGCTGAACATATTCCACAAAGCCTGACAATCAAGATCTAACAAACTTTATTTTGTAAAAGTGATTTGTGCTATATGTAATATTTAATAAATGCCACAATTTCTACAATTTTATATATATATATATTTAAAAGTATAGTTAAGTTTATAGTATAAAGTAAAGTTAGTGCCTAAATACTTTTTGAGCCCAATGCATATAGCATATATATATATATATATATATATATATATATA